GTGACTGTGCAAATCTGGTACAGACCTGTCCCTGAAATTTGTAGTTGCAATAAAGCAAAAAGTTGTTCTACCCCATATTTTGGATTTTTCACCCTAACACTGTCTAAAAATCATGCACAATTTTCTTTTCACATCACCATTAGGAGTTACTTTCTGTTGGTGAGAGGATGGAGCATTGCAAGAAACTGTTTGACTAATCTGTACTGATGATTTTTCTCTGCTTTTTTTCACCTTATTTATCTGGGAAGTCTTTTTTTTTAATGCCATTCTCTAACTTTGCAAATGTCACACTGACTGTTGCGTATACTGGGTAGGCTAACAAACTAGCTGACTGAATGAATTATGAATGTAAAATCCCTCATGGTCCTGCCCCAGCCTTCAACAGCAACATCTCATTTACCTCCTCTCACCTGGTTTCCTGCCAGTTATCCCCACATCCTCTCTGCAGAGCTGATCAGAGCCTCCTTCCTGTAACAGAGGACGAGACAAGGTCGACACGTTCTCCGCCTGCCAGGAGAGCTCTTAGATTTAGTCGCTCCAGCCAAGACAGACAGACATGGAGGCAGAGGCTGCAGCTCGATGAAGAATGATGGCCTAATCCTGCAGGGGGAAAGGTGGGTTAAAACTGAGGTCTGCAGGAGGGGGGCGGCTGTCAACCGGGACTTTATTTAATGAGATAATCACAAAACTGATCTAGCCTCTTGTTTAGCCCAGCTGGGCAGACTGTTAATTTATCTTTGCTTACATTTGTGCTCACATAAAGCATGTTTGGCCCCCAGAGCTTTTGGGAAATTACACTGAGACTTCATTACTGCTAAAGTGACACCTAAAGATGAATGTGCCACACCAAACTGTTTATTAGTAATGTTCAGACAAACCTTTGTGTGAGCGCTCATGGATTGGCGTATTTTGGGAGTCAATCTAATTTTTCTACTTGGTTGGATTAGCATTGTAATATGTAGAAATAATTTTATTCTGCTCATGTAATTCTGGTCCAAGAACTACATAAAGAAATTAAGTTTAAAGTAAAACAACCATGAGTCATGAGGACAAAATCTGACACTGTGTTTATGCAAGAGACAACATTCAGTTCAGCAAAGTTTATTTAAATAGTGCCACGTCATAACAAATGACTTTTCCAATTTACATACAAAATTATATTATCAAGTCAATCCAATGAAATAGATCAATTTGTGCTAATTCCTTGGGAGAAGAAATCAAGGTATTTACTAAACAATCTGAAAATTTAACCCACAGAAGGGGATAGAAATACATTTACCTTTTGGTTTTTGCTGCCCTCTAAAGGTCAACAGAGGACACAAAAAACTAACATATCTCTTAAATACAGGCTTTAATTAAATTTAAAATAAAAAATAGGAATAATCAGCATCACCGTTAAAAATATTGCAATAGGAAATATTAGCTTATAAAATCTGAGAGTACAAATTGCATCAAAGTATCTTTACTTTCCTCGAAAGGTTTATAAACAAATCTCAAATCATGTTGTTCTCTTTAACCTCTTTTAACTTTTTTGTTTCTTCTTTTTTATTTCAGTGATTCATAATTAACAAGGCATTGGACAAACAAAGAAAAAAAGTTCAGTGCATTCTTAATATCTGATTTATTTACATATGAACTAAAGAAAGCAAAGACAACTGCCTTCAAAAAGTTCTCAAAAACTTCCAAAGAAGAATGATTGGAGTTTTTACAACTCACTAGAGGGCATCATATGGTAATCAAAAAGAAGGCTTCTCATGTTTTAACTTCAATCTGTTGCATGAATGTTTTATTATTTTGTAAAAAAATAAAAAATAAAAAAAATAATGGACAGAGGAATTGAACTAAGCCCAGAACATGATATATTTTCATTTTTGCTTTAATTACAAAGAGGCAACGCTGTGAAATGATGCAGTCTGACTTGTGTTCATAAAGACATCAGAAGTAATTTTAAATCCATCCATTTGGTTATGTTACCAACTGTGTTAAAGTGTCGTTTTGAAGCAGATGTTCTCCATTTCCATCTCATAAGGTATGTATGTAATTTAGGACAAAGGGGAAATAAGTATTGTATTTGTATTCTTTGTATCCTTAGAGTTATTTAAGTGTCAATTAAGTAGAAAGCATTATTAACAAATTGTTGTGTTTTTTAGTCATTTAATGCTATGATATTATGCCAGAAAACCTACCATTTTGAAATAAATTATATTTTATAACTGTGTAAAACACAATTAAGCCTCTAACTGTTGTTGTGTTAAAGATGTGCAGGAAAAGGGCCTAACACTGCTGAGTTCTGGTCCTGGTGGCTCAGCAGGTTCCAGCCGCCTTTCCGTCATCTAAGTTTAAATCTGCTACTTGACCTTTGCAGCATGTCTCTCTCTTACTGTCTCCCACCCCCACTGTCAAATTCATTCTTTCATAAACAAAAATACAACAAATGCCATAAATGTCATCAGTTTACAGTCATTGAGAAAAGGTCACCCGCAAAGACAGTTGGAGCCTGCTGCGGCGACTCGGATTTGATCACCTCATCATAAAAACGAAATGGGAAGCTATATTCTTTTCGTGTTGATAATCACAAATTATGTTCATGATGCTCATTTTGTTTCTAGATTAAGATTTATTCTCCGAGGTGAAAGTGAAAATTATATTCTGACTGCAAAAAAAACAAAACTGAATCTGTTGCAAATATAATTTTCTTCTGCAAACAAACAGGGAAAGAAAGCAATAAACTACAAGAAAATTCAGACTTCTTTATTAAATCACTCCTAAATAAAATCTTATGCAGCCAGTTAGTAAAGAGTCCACCTGTGAAATTTAGTGTCAGCTTCCTGTTTTTTAAAGATGGATCAACACTATTTAAAAGATGAAGAGAGAGTTTATCTCCATGGTTTATCTCCAAGGATTTGTATTACATTAGTGAATGCTGTACGTAAAAGTTTTACCATAAGTATCCATATTTATATTCCAGTTTAAACACCTCTACAGCTGGAATGTATGAGGAAAGTGAAGTTAGACATAATTCGCTTAAATAAGAGTTGTCCTTTTTTGTCCACACAGCACAGCAGCCTATTCCGCTCCGCAGCTGCATGCACACAGACTTGGCAGATGTTTAAGCCAGATGTCCTTTCTGATGCATCCCTCATGATTATCTTTCAGTTTCCTGGGGAAACTCACAATTATCCGTTGGAAGGAACAGCGTTCAAACCAGGAAGCTCTGGAACTAGAGCCAGCTGCTCTATATCACCTCAGCCACTGCTGCTCCCACTCCAACTAGAGAAATTAATCATTTTAAATCTGCTATAAAATTATTGGAGAATACAAAAAAAATGGAAAAAAAGATTTTAAGATATAGCAAAGAATGTGCCTTTGCTCTTTCAAAGTCTTTAAACATTTCATACAAGAATAGAATTATCCTTTATTGGCCCTTGGAAGGGAAATCTGGGTGTATCAGCAGCAAAGTGACTGGCAAAAGGAAGCAGACCGATACACATAAAAATAAGCAATAATAATAAAAGAAAAATGTGGACTGCTTTATGTCAAATATACAGTTGTGAAAAATAGATTATAAGAAATGTGAAAAGAAATATGTAAGTGAATAAAAATATCTACAAACTTTACAAACTGTTATTTTTATCTATTTGTATGAGGTCGCTTACAAGAATATGAAAACATTTGCAAGTGTCAGGAATGAAAACAGTTCCTTGCTGTTATTTGCATAGGATTTCATTAGACAATCTTACAAACGAGTTACAGTACAGCCTGTGAAACTTACTGCAACAAAGCATGTGTTGCAGTAATATATTACAATATATTACAAAATATCGTTAAAACCAATAGATTCATCTTTAGCCCAGTGTAAAGCAAAGGTGAAAGCAGAGGGGAGATAAAGATGAAGAGCAGCCTCATGTCTGAGTTCTCCTGATCAAGCTGTGAGACCATGGCTGAATTTTATAACCATGTTTATACAGTCTTAGCTGGAGAAAGACAAATATCAGACTGGATGGAGCGAGACTTGAATTATTAACCAGCTGTCTCACCTCTGGGGTTGTCATGGCAACCAGGTTCCCCTTTTGTTGAAAAAAAGCATGGCTGAGGTAGATCATGGGAGACATCAAGATTAGACACAGACCTCTGACCAAAGACAAAAACCTTATCAATCTGGAGTTTAGGTAACCTCCGACGTGCACACACTTACACCATAACATGGAGTAACAGAGCACACATGTACGCTTTTGTTGAGGCTTTCTAAGTTATCAAAACAAAATGTGATGGCATCTCCCCGTGTTTAGTTCTGGTCATGGATACACTGAATGAACAAACACTGAATGAACAGATCTTATATAGTTCAAATCTCACCTGCCCAGTAACTCTGAAAGGTATTCAGGCCCAGGAGGACCACTCAGTGCCTTTCAGACTATTACACAGAAAATGTATAGTTTTAAACACAGCCAGTACACCGCAGTGGAAGAATATAGTTAACTGATCAGATGTTTGTAAGTACTGTGGCAAAAGCATCTTGGATAAGCTTGCAGCTGCCCAGATATTTTTTTTTTACATTCTGACCTGTATAGACATCATTACAATTAACTAACCTAACTAGCTAGCTAATTAACTAGCTAGTTAGCAAGATAGTTAATTAACTAACTAACTACCAAGATAGTTAGTTAACTAACTCACTGTACAAATAAATAAATGAATAAATACCATTTTTTTCCAACTGTGAGCTCCTGTAGCTGAAACTGAGCTATCTACTACAGTTTTAACTAAAGTCCGATTTTTTTAGTCCATAGCAGAAAAATGAAGGTAATGAAAAGCAGGTAACCTGTTAAATATCCCATAAAAGTTTCAGAATTTTTATTAAGTGCTTTTTCCCAAAAAAAACTTTAGCAGTAATTTGATTATTAAAAAAATTGATAGAACTTCAGCATTTTGAAGTTGTCACCTGGTGAAAATATTAATTACATGGGCCATTATATGCATTCGTTTATATTCTGCTTTAAAAAGTAACTTTAGTCCAAACTGACACCATTGTCTTTTATATCACCGTATGCAGAACACGTTCTTAAATTTTAAGGTTTGGAAATATGCTGAGGGCAAACTCTAGTTCAGTTAGATGGCAACGTCATCGTTCGGGGGCGTGGTCATTACAGCTGGTATAAATTCCGGTGACCCTCCCATCGTGGGGTCATTTACTAACGGTTCAGGTATCTGTACTCTTGTTTTCCATATCAAGCATTTTACCGCTGTTTGCATAGAGGCTTTTTCGACGTTGTTCCTTGGAGGAACAGGTGAGTCAAGTTGTTCCCTGTGAGATTCTCTAGAAGCAACTGTGAAGCACGCGGGAAAGTGAAAATCCATCTGTGTCTTAATGTTGTTTACCGCGAACTTTACTGATCACGTGCTGAGTTATTAATTACATGTTAAACTTTTCACCCGTTTAGAAGCAGCCATTCCACACCAGAAAAAATGGTGAAGATTGGAATCAACGGGTGAGCTCATTTGGCTTTGCTCTCTTTGTAGAAAAGATTTAATTTTTGCACCTTACAGATTTTCGCTGTCATGGTCATGAATACGGCCAAAATAAGATTTTGAAGAAGTTATTCAAGTTATACGGACTTTTGTGCAGAAACCTTCTAGTCTGGACGATTGGTATAAAAATACGATGATGATACAAGCATGAAACTTCTCATAAATGTTCTCCATCAGATTTCCATCAATCCCAAAGGTGGAGCCGTTTGAAAATGTAACGGCCTTAGCAACAGTTCCTAAGTAACCCTTTTAGCATAGTAACCGACCGTTGAAAATGTATTCAGTAACTATCTGTAGAAAAATGAAATTTGTTACAAGAAATACAGAGGGACGTCAGTCGATGTCACGCTGCGTCAGTACCCATTGTGCTAACCGCATGTCGTCATTTTTATTGTTTTAAATCTTCAGAAAAAACAGCGTTGGTTTTGAAATCATAAATTGTATAGAAAACAAAAATTGGACAATGATTTTCAGGTCCTGCATACACATGGTGGTGGTTGTACTTTGAATGTTGGTTATTTTGTAGTATAGATGTTGGTGGTGTTGAGTTGAACTGATGGAAATGGGAAATCCAGAAAGCAAAGTAGGGCAAGAAATCGACTGGACCAAATGCATTCTGTGTAAATTATTAATCACTGATTAATCAAACACCAGTTGGATATAAAACCTCGGCTGAAGTCTTGAAGCAGTTTCATGACCTTGATGAAAATAAACGTCTCATGCTTAGACTATGTAGATGGCACTGAAGTCACCTTTCTCAAACACAATGAAAAATGGCATAAGTACAACAAAACTCAACTGTGCCACAGTAAAAAAGAGGAAAATGATGAAGTTCTAAATGAATTTTCACACACAGTTGTGTAGATTATATTCTAAATCAATTCAAAAATACTTTATTGATCCCACAGGGATAAATAGTGTTATTGTAAGATGAGTTACAATAATGAGTTATTGTTGTAACGCGTATTAATTCAAATTTATCAATGTTATATACACAGAAGATGGCAGTATATCTGGACTTGTGTATGCTTCAGTTGTTCCAAGTTTGAAACTTTTTTTTTTTGCTTTCTGGTTCTTTATTGCTAACTAGCTTATATTAATCTGTATTAATACTTTAAACCAGTGTCCACGGTAATAGAAATCTCTTCTACTACAAAATTGGTGTAAATATTTAATCACTGTAATTGTTTCCTAGCATTTTATGTAATAATTATAATTTTCTTTGGTTCTACCCCTAAAATATTAGGTACCCTCACCACTGGATAAGATTTGTGCAAAGTTTCATTCTTACATCACCTTTCAAACTATTCTAGACATACTTTACACCAATTGCCAAATGGTATATAAAAATGAAGAATAGTTTACCTTAAAATAGATTGAGCTCGACTGATTATGGAAAGCTTTTGACTGTCCCTCGCCAGCCTGTAGGTTTTCCCTTCAGAATCCCAAAGGTGTACAGTAGATTCAAGGTACACATTTTCTACAGGATGTTTTTTTTAAATTATTTTTATGGTGACATGTGTAAATATGAATTGGCATTACAGCAGCAGCAATTGCCAAAACGTAATATTTTGAGTTGGACCCTTTATCTTCTGGTTGTAGTAGGTTAGTCTATTCTCTTGCTATTTATAGTTCGCTGGCGTTGTGACTCCACGCTCGGTGTCCCTCCAGTCACATCCTCCAGGCCCCTCCACTGACTCCATCACCGTTTCCCCTCAGCTGTCACATTCCTTTGATTTTCCCCACTTGTCTAAATTTAACTCAAACATCTCTGAGGTCCAGAGATCATCCTTGCTGCAGAATATGGATGCTTCCAAGACTTGGAGATTGTTGAAACGGGTTCAGTCTTTTGTGAAGCAGCAGCAGCAGCTGCTGCTCAGAGATTTAGCTTGTTGATGCTGGAAGGGTGCCAAAGCCCAGCTTCAGACACAAAGGATGGGCAATGGTCCAGTTTGGCCTTCTGACTCCCTACTTGCTTCCCAGACTGCTAAAGAACAGCTTCTGATTCAGATCATATGGATAACATTCAGCAGAAAGCTGTGTAAAATTCTTGCTCCCTTCCATTTGTTTTTAAATCTCCAAAATCAAATTAAAAGCCTGCTTTTCTTAAGGATGTTCCCATCTGTAGCTGGAGAAATCTGAAATCCTGGTTATCAGTGTTGCAAATACAAATTTTAAAATTGATTGAGAGATCAGCAGGTGACTAGAATTAGATTTGTCTGCTCGACCATTTTTTTTTCTCTATTCTCTAAATTTTATGATTTTTCAGGAAAATCCATACTTGAAATTTTACTGAACCATTTTCTTCTCCTGACATGGTATCCAGTTGCATCTCTTGTTTCCTGACAGTTTGAAGTAGGTGATGCAATCCTATCTCTGCTCCCTCCTCACTCCGGTTCAAGGCTCAGTCTTATGATTCCCATATTAGGAGTAAATTCCCTTTTGATTTTCTGTGTGAACATCTTTATCTTCAAAGTGGGCTGACCATGTATGGTCTGTCTGCTGTTTTTTTAGTTTTCAGTCATTGCCACCTGCTGGTCAAGAGGAACACCTGAAAACTGTAGCTAACTTGCTAAAGTTGCTCTATAGTCTGTGTTTGGAATTTGAACCTAAACTTTATCCTTTCTGTTGGAAGTATAATTGGTCAATGTGGAGGCTCTGACTGATTCTTTGCAGCCCAATCAAATTTTAAGACCTAATTCTAAATTTCTATTTTCTCAAAACCACTTGGTGTTGCAGATATTCCTTTGGCATTTACAGAGGCAATTTTCTTTTTTACAGTCTATATCCTGTCTATTATATTTCTTGCCTTTTAATGTATTTCAGATTTGGACGAATCGGTCGTCTGGTGACCCGGGCTGCAGCCATTGGTGGGAAGGTTGAGGTTGTAGCCATCAATGACCCTTTTATTGACCTCGACTACATGGTGCGCAACTTTTAAAAATAAATAAATGAATGTCACACAATTTTCTGCTACAAGCATGGTATTTAAGAATGTCCAAATAATCTATGTGCAGTCTTAAACTTGTAAGTTGTCTTGCAGGTCTACATGTTCAAGTACGACTCCACTCATGGTGTCTGGAAGCATGGAGAGGTGAAGGCAGATGGCGGCAAGCTGATTATTGGCAAGATGCAGATCTCGGTCTTCCATGAGTATGTAGTATTTAACAGACTTCGTATGCTTCCTGATGGGTAGACATTATGCATAACCGTGGTGTAAAAATGTACAGGAAGGACCCTGCCAACATCAAATGGGGTAGTGCTGCCGTAGACTATGTTGTGGAGTCAACCGGTGTTTTCACCACCATTGACAAAGCTTCTGTAAGTTCCTCAAAGGCACTTTGCTGATAACAAAGTATAAATGTTGATGAGGCAACATGATTTGAAAACATCTGAATTGTATAATTAAAAAAAATTGTGGAGTGGTATAAAATTTTTCTGAAGGGGATGCAAGATTATGTAGTTGTCTTAATTTAGGGTAGTAATATTAATTTAAGTTGCATCAAGCCACCTGGGTTTTTTTATTTTCCAGATTCACTTGAAAGGCGGAGCAAAGAGGGTGGTGATCTCTGCTCCAAGCGCTGATGCTCCCATGTTCGTCATGGGCGTCAACCAGGACAAGTACGACAAGTCCATGAAGGTCGTCAGGTGAGTCTCAACAGGATCCGTTTTTTTATTTGATGTCACAAATCTATTTTGACGAGAAGAATCAAAACTATGCAGCTTCAGAACAACCAATAACCTTTTTTTTTTTTTATTTACTTTTTAAGCAACGCTTCCTGCACAACCAACTGCCTGGCTCCCCTTGCCAAGGTCATCAATGACAACTATGGAATCATTGAGGGTCTCATGGTAAAAGGAAATATTTAGCAATATCTAAACCTTCTGTTGTACTCCCTCCTACGAGGGCAGTCTGTTGAAGATCATTTAAAAAGGCTCCCTTTGGGATGCAGTATTTAAAATAGCTAGTTGTTTGAAATTGGAATGAAATAAAGTCAGTATTGGCAGGTTTACGCCCTAATCTGTATCTCTACACTAAAATCTGAGCCTGGTTTAAATGCTTTAGCAAAATGTGTCTCTGGCTCCATCTGTCGTCTCATCCAGAGCACAGTCCATGCTACCACCGCCACACAGAAGACTGTTGATGGGCCTTCAGGTAAAATGTGGAGAGATGGGCGAGGTGCCGCACAGAACATCATCCCCGCCTCGACTGGAGCTGCCAAAGCAGTCGGCAAAGTGATCCCTGAGCTGAACGGGTACGGAATTCCTTTTAGCCAATTTCTTTTTAGTAAATGTAAAATGGATTTATAATAAAGCTGCTTTGAGGGTCACTCATGTCGTAAATCTATAACAGAAAGCTCACTGGTATGGCTTTCCGTGTCCCCACCCCCAACGTATCTGTTGTTGACCTGACGGTTCGTCTGGAGAAGCCGGTAAGTATTAGATAATCTGAACAGTTTGTCTCCAAGAGATGGTCTTAGTTTAGAACAGAATTGAATTCTATGTTTTTCTTTTCATTTTTTTAAACTTGAATTTTGCACCATCTTTGGAGATTTGGGTTGAAAGTTTGCAATCCAACCCATTTATTTGTCCCATCATTCAGGCAAAGTATGATGACATCAAAAAGGTTGTTAAGGCTGCAGCAGATGGACCGTTAAAGGGAATTCTGGGATACACAGAAGACCAGGTACGATAAATAAATACTGTTGCATCTGTGGGGACATTTATCGGCTCAGGAGCCAGCAGATGGCAGCACATTACTAAACATTAGTCAGTTATTCATCTCTAGCTCCTAACCTGCAGGGGTCATGCCTCCTAACTGTACATGACTCTCGGGTCAGGTTGTGTCTACAGACTTCAACGGTGACTCTCGCTCCTCAATCTTTGATGCTGGCGCTGGCATCGCATTGAACGATCACTTTGTAAAACTGGTTTCATGGTGAGTTTTTGTGGTATCTCATAATCCATCATGCCATTCTGAAAATGACTAAAAACATCTGTAATTATTACCATAAAAGTGTAAGTTTTTACAGAGCAATCGATAAGCATCTGTTTTGGGAAACTGAACTCTGGGTGTACTTTGTGGCTAAATCGTTTGTGATTTTCAATCCTGCTTATTTGCAGGTATGACAATGAGTTTGGCTACAGCAACCGTGTGTGTGACCTGGTCCAGCACATGTTCTCCAAGGAGTAAAGCTGATGCCTGTTCCCTATGGAAACTGTTTGGGACCTTTGCCCTTGGTTCAACCTACCTTTCTGATCAACACTGTACTGTAATCACTTGTTTGGTATTTTTTTCACCTGACTTAATAAAGTCCTTACAATGAGATGTCTGCACAACTCTCTACTGCTTTGTAAAAGGTGGAGTTCACTCCCCCCCCCCCCCCCGCATGTTTTTGAATAAGATTAGAAAAAGGACCGAAAAAAAAAAAATCAAATTTATCATGCAATTTTATATGTTCCTTTCTTTGTGCTTAAGTTTATTTCAATATGCATAGTGAAATGTTTGAAATATCCAAATTGACTCCCTGACCATCTCTGGCTTCATCTAAATCTACTTATTTATTGGTGTAGCCAACATTACTGCATACTTGAACAAAACTTTAAACGTGTAACTTTTGTTACAATTAAAAGATTTGGAACCATCTAGTCTACAAACCTATTGTAGTGAATTTTACATTGAAATTTCAGTTTAAAAGAATATTAAATTTCTGCAAAATGTTGATTATATGTGTGATCTCTTGAAATGCTTTTTCCCCCCCCCAATAACTTTTTCACAAAATCTCTGCTTTTAAACAGAAGTGTGTAGATTCCTGCGTTCCACTGAATGTGTTCCTTCGTTTTAAGTGCAATGAATCTGCTTCCTCTTTGGTATTTTAAGAAACATTATATACGGAATATTTGCGTGGTTGAGCTTAAGAGACATTAAAAGTCAGAATGGGAAAATGCATCTTTGCTTGGTTAAGCTTGTTGTAAATGTCAACCGGAGTCGCATCAAGTTTTACCAGTAAAATATATTTTTTTAAATGTCAGTAGTTCATAAAAGCAAAACACACACAAGTAACTTCAATATGTGATTTACGGTAGCTTCAGCTGCTCGGTGACCTTCTTTTACAGTTATTACGGTAAAGCACCGCCGCAGTCATGCACTGATGTTTATTCCTGACTGGGCTTCGCTGCACAGCGGCTCTGCACTGATTTCACCTCCTTAACTGGAGCCTGAAATAGCCGTCCTCTCCTTCCAGGTATGTAAGGATGAATCTTTATTAGGGATCGGAAAATCCTTTGTTTGGCTTTATTGAAAGGCGTAAATATTCACTTTGCTTGTGCGCATCGCTGCTGCGTTTGTCCCTCTAGTGCTGCGTAAAAGTAAACTGAATTTGACTGCAGGATGCAGATGGACGCCTGGTATTGGAAGCGCCTGCATATATCTTCTAAAAAAAAAAAAAATGCGCCTTAAGATTTGTGTGTTTACTGGTATTCTGTTATGACGTTTTGTCTGCCGAATGAGGTCACGTCATCCTTCTAATATGCATAACTGATTCACTTCACAGCTGCACTTCCTGAATGAAATCTTGCCAAGTCAGGAAAGAAAATAGTGAATAAAGGGGCCTCCAGGTTCTGATTCTGGTTCGGATCAAGGGTTTTTAATCAATTACCTGGCTTGTTGAATCCACAGAAGTCTGGGTTCATGCCGGATTTTGAGCATTTCAGATTTTCCTACTCGAGAATGAATCCTGTCCTGGGGGAGAGCGGCTTCCTGGCTCCGCAGCAGCATCACTACATGATGGGCCAGGCGGATGCAGCCATCCCGGAGCCAGGCTACATCCTGGGGGACAGCGGTGGATTCGGGCCGGATGGCTTGTCAGGGTTGGACCTGGGTGTCCTGCCGCCGTCGTCGGGTCTGGCCTACTACCACCGGGCGCCCCCTGCGGCCACGGCCCTGCGCAACGACCTGGGCTCCAATATCAGCGTGCTAAAGACTCTGAACCTGCGATTCCGCTGTTTTTTGGCCAAAGTGCACGAACTGGAGCGCAGGAATAAAGTGTTGGAGAAGCAGCTGCAGCAGGCCGTGGAGAACAGCAGCGGCGGAGAGGGGCTTCATAAGCCCTTGACCAAAGACACGGGGGTCCAGACTGGATTTATCGGACCAATTCCGTCCAGACCGAACTACATCCCGCTCCATAATGTCAGTAATTCGGCCTACCTGCCAGGCGGCCTCCTCTCTCCCACCCTGAACCCCCCTCCGCTCCTTTCAAACCACCTGAACACAGATTCAAACTTCAACCTCACCTCACTGGGTTTCCCCCTCGGTGCCGCTCCGAGTCCGAACGACGCGACCAAAACCTTGAGCAACATCAACGAAAAGCACGCCGCCAGCAACAGCCTGCCTCCACCGCCGCGCTTCCTCCCCGGAACCATCTGGTCCTTCAACCACACCCGCCGCTTCGGCATCGGCAGGGAGTCGTGCGTCACGGGGCCCGGGGTCTCCTGGACGCACCCTGACGGCATCGGGGTCCAGATCGACACCATCACACCTGAGATCAGAGCTCTGTACAACGTGCTGGCCAAGGTGAAGAGGGAACGGGACGAGTACAAGAGGAGGTAGGGACTAAACCTTGTTGTTGAAATGGAGTGAATTAATTTATGTCTAAAGTAATGTTGTTTAAACTAAGTTCTTTGAATAAAGGGTGTAGCACACTATAAAAGTAATTTAGTAAGGTATTAAAATCTACCCGTTATGAATCAAAACTTAAAGTTTTAGTTTAAAAATGTAATTTCGGTGGGCTTTTTGCAACGCTTTAAGTACATTTTACATTTACTTTTCAAATAGATATTTGCTCAGATTCATTCATGTGTGGCACATATGATCTGTTTAAACACAGCTTATTAAAAGTTGAGGTTTATCATAAATCTTGTGGTTGAGAAAGTTTAGTGTCAAGTTTGTATTCAGCTTTTACAGCACCAATTAATGCTAAAATCAAAGATTTTAGGAAACTGAGCTTCTTAACCCTGAGGACATCATTTCCACTTATGGGACAGTTTAGCTGTGGTGGGCAGGGAAAAGGTTAATCTTGGATTGAAAAGTTTTATGGGTCCTTTCAAAATTTGTGGGCAAAAAAAATCTTCTGTCATCTCTAATTTTATAATTTTCTGTCATCTGATGTAAATCGTAAAGGAAAACACTGTAATAACATCAACTTGATTTTTCCAGCCAAAGCCTCAAAGATATGCTTTAATTTAGATTATTTTTATTTATTTATTTTTTTTTTTGTGCTCCATGCTTGGTGCCTCATTAATATTTTATGTCATAATCCTACAACAATTATTGATTTGTTTCTTTGTAACAGGATAAATTGGCAAAAATGATCTTAATATATAATTGGACTTTCACTTTTTTGCAGGACATAAATATGTGTATTAAAGCTATTAAAATTCAAAACATAAATGATGAAAAATTCTTATGTGAATAATAAATTACTGCAATTTTGATAGTTTAATTAAATTAAAGTTAAGTTTGCTTTTCCAGTGTAGATTTGCCCTAAATAAATGACGTATAAATAATAATGTACGGACAGCTAAACTGGTGAAACTATTTACAAACCACAATTATTGCTCCAAAATGGGAACTTTCTCAGCTACAGGTCTTTTGACTGTTAACTTTTACTAAATTGACCCGTTCATAATTCAGCCAGTGTTCTCTTCACACTGCAACAAGACCACAAGTTGACTGAACTAACATGCAACTAAACTTTTATTGGATTCATTAATGAAAGGAAATTTCTAATTTTAGTCATAAATGTTTATCATTACATAGATAATGTAATGTTAAACTATAGGGTATTTTATACCCTATATTTGAGGGTATGAATATATATGTATATAGATATATATATATACATATATATATATTGCATGTCATATTTTGTTCATTTGTATAAAAGTTGAAAGTGAAAGCAACATTCTTAGTGTAAATGATTTTATAAGGCATTCTGGGGAAGGTTTCCCTGGAAATCTTAATTCTTTTGATTTCAAACTTTGTGTTGTCATTGATGTTTAACTTCCAGAGAGGGATATATTGCAGTAGCTAATATTTAGCTACAAAGACAGATTTGACTGAGTAAAGCAAAGCAACTCCTAGCCCAAGTGTGTATCTTCACAAAAGCTTTTATCCATTGACATGTCAGCAGATGTGATGAAGTATTTGTCCCATATCATGGTAGTTCCCTTTGTAATTCAAGTCTAAGAAGCTTTCTGGCTGTCAGAGGTCAGTGAACTGGGATTGTTACAGATCCTGTTGGTTAGAGAAATAATGTTACAATAAGTACATTAAAGTTAGTAACAACTTGGAGAATGCAAGGCAGGTGTACTTGCATAGCATTTATACACAAGACAACCCAACGTATTTTTACAAGACATCAAATGAAGAGGGGCCGGGGGAGAAAACGACAAAGCATGAACATACAAGTACATATTGGAAGAATATGTTAAAATACAGATACTACGAACAGCTTATTAGTCGTATTCTTTGATTCAAAATCTGTTAAACAAAAATGTTTGCAGTCCTGGTTTGAAGGAGTCAACTGTTTTTTCACACTTCAGGTTTTTAGGGAGTTGGTTCCATAAAACTAAATGCTGCCTCACTTTTAGTTCTGGCTGTGGGAACACTGAGTGAGCAGGTCTCTAATGACCTGAGGGGTCGACATGATTCATACTTGCTAACCAACTCTTTATTTTAGGCAGAGTTTTTCTACTGTTTGGAGATATATTTGTCTCATAATAAGGGACAAATACTTTAAGCTTCAGTTTAAACATATTTTTATTTCCTTATTTAATTTCTCACTTGATTTTCTTCTTCTGCAATAATAAAAGATCAGGTAAAACAACCAAATAGTTTATTATAAGATGATTAGATGATGTCCTTCATTTCCTCCATTTCTGTCCTCCTCTTCTTCCTCTCTGCTGACTTCTGTTTTGCTACCTGCAATGCAGCAGCAGCAGACTGTCCACCACCAGTGATGTAACCAGTCTTCCATCTCCCTCTCTTTTCTCCATGTCTTTTCTGTGTTTTCCTTTCTGCCTCCTTCCTCTGTGTTCATCTGTCAACATTTCTCCATCCCCAGCTTTGCTGTGCTCTTCATCTCTTCCCAGAGTAGCTCTGTGGATCTTTCTTTCCATCTTTCACATTACTTCCTGCTGTCCTTGTCGGCTCCTCCTTCGTTTAATACATGGGTAAAAACAGTGAAGGGTGCTGTTGTTGTTACTGTTTTCTACTGCTTTAAGTGCCGTTTGTACTAATGGAGACAGCGATGATGTCAGCGTTGCCTTCAGTAATTGATGCCCTAAGGGGTTACGGAAACTCGTACACCATTTTGCTGAAGTAGAAAACCAAGCAATGAAAGCAGAGAGGATTTCTGTTTATTTATAACTCTAGTGATTTTTAGATCAGTGGTCTTGGCGCCACTGAGTCTGTTCTTTGCCAGCAATCATTCTGTGATGTTTTGGTCTGTAGCTAATTTTTTGACATCAGAACCAAAAGCTTTATAAATGTGATTTGACATTATTCCAAACTGAATTGTCATTATAATTTTGAAAGGTATGTTATAGGTTGTAGTGAGTTAACTGATGCCATCCTTTATTTAAAATGCATATGAATAACTCATAAGAAGTTGATTAAAAAATTTGAGAATTCCTACAAAATGTTATTCTTCAACCTTTTTTGATTGACAGGGAATAAATGTGCATAAAAAAATTCAAGGAAAACCAGACCATGAAAAAGTGCAGCATTAAGCCTACAAAACTGTAGCTTCACATCCTTATCGTCTGTGCAAACTCAGTGCCAGGGTTGTTGTCCCTACAAAAAACCTTCAAAAACGTTAAGCTAAATATTTGCTTTAACTCTTTATAGGAAACCAAAGAAATAAACTTGCCTCATCTTTGTCAGACTTACAGCAATAATTGATTTAGTTATTCTATGATAATCCACTTACAACATATTTAATTACTTTTTAAAAACAACTCTGTGTATCCATATAACACCAGTGCTCAAAAATTACATTAAGGCATTACACACAGTAAAGCAAACAACCCAAATCCAGTTGCATACTGTAAAGTTCAACTAAGTGTGATTCAGTCAGTTCAGTTAACGGTTTATTTCAGTTCTAATACTAATGCGCAGCAAAACTGATTTACAAAGGAAATTAAGAATTTGATTTGGTTCATTTTATTACACGTTGTACAGCTGAAATCGGTCCAGATTTACCAGACCAGTATATTTCAGTTAAACCCATTTTAATTCAGTCCAGGTCAGTGCAATGGAATGAAGCAGATTGCTAATCTCTTTAGTAAAATGCAGCAGATCTCGGATTTCATTCTTAAAACTTCTCAGCTCCTCTGCAGCTGTGGACGTCGGAGCCAGGTCAGACACTAGGCAGCAGTTTGACGTCATCACAAATTATCCCACTGCTCTGGAATAAAATGTGAGTCTGTAGGGTCATCAATCAGCAACGTCCCCGCAGAGCAACGTGTCGAGACTTTAAAGCATAAGCCACAAGGACATCGGTGCTCCTCCTCTACCTCCTCTGCCTGCTGCTTTCCAGCAACCATATCTGTGTGTCTCTTCATTTCAGTGAACTGAAACATATGAGCTCTGAGTCGCTAAGATCCAAAACTGGTGAGATGGACAAAGTGACATTCTCTTTTATTGTTGGACATCAATTAAAAAATCCATTTTACACAAGAAAAATATAATTAGTCTAATGTAGTTTTTATTTTATTAGCTGTTTTTGCGTTTTTATAAAGGCAGCTGATTCTGATGAAATCGGGCCAAAACAGGACCACATGTATTTATTTTCCCCTATTTACATATAATTTATAGCATCCAAACTCTCAAACTGTTTTATTGTCAAAAGTTTTATTGATCAATTCTTCAATTATTTTCCATTTTATATAGACAAAGTGAGATCAAGAGCACATTTGTAGCATTTTAGGCACAATGTACCTAATGCAAATGGAAATTAAGTTCACCTTAAATTTAAATGTCAAGATGTGCAACGTTTATGACTAATGGTTATAAAAGAGATTCCAGTAAGACATAGAAAAATGTCTGTTTTATTGCAGTGGCATGACCTTAGACTAAATGCTGTGAAATGTAGAAATGGCATCAGATCAGATGGATTTTATTTTTTTATGTGGCTTACAGAATGATTCTAAATCTTTATTTGGTCAACAGGAAGTATTATTTGCACACAGACATTTTAAATGATCAGTCCATATAAATGTCCAAATGTAACCCTGTTAATGTGGCACCATAATGTCTATCCTGTGATATTTCTGTTTTCCTGCAGAGGGAAAATCCAGCAGAAATCATGTGAGCATGTGGTCCCACAGTAACTTCTGCCTGTTTCTGTTTATTTCTGTCTTCTCTCCATGGAGACTGAGCGCTGGAGCATCCACACTGAATACTTCCTGCTCATGCAACATTTGCTGAATAGGAATAGATTTTGTCTCAAAGCTTTGGAGGAAAATTCTTCAGCTGTCTCAGCTGAAAATTAGATTGAATTCAGGAAGCATTCTGTAGCTTAAACCATTTAACAAAACGCTGAATATTCCAATTAAAAGTACTAAGTATTCAATTTGTGTGTGTGTTTTTTTTAATTTTCATATTGCGTGGCAAATGTGTTTCTGTTGATAAATGGTTTCATGTCTTGAAAATGTGTCAAAGTTTTAATATCATACAGAGCTGGTTTCTCTATAATTTCCTGTTGAGAATTGTAACTTTGTGTTAACAGATGGGAGGAAGAGTATGCAGCCAGAATGGATCTGCAGGAGAGGGTGGCTGAGCTTGAGGAGGTATGCAATCATCACAGTTTGATTATAGTTATTATGTTCAGGTATCAGTTACGGTACCTGTAACTCAGTTGATTTGGATAGATAGTTTTTTCTTTTATGAAATGAAACACCAGACTTGCATGAAATCAGCCATTTCCATCCACACACTGATGATGGTTAGCTGCTGGACTGTAGTCACAGCTGCAGTATGATTTCAAAACCTGCTTTTTGTGTTTACTCTGGTTATCTTTGTCTGATATTAAAAATTGATGACTAATCTGAGACAAAGCGTGACAAAACATAACAAACAAAATGTGTACCTTTTCATAGCACCAGGATCCTATTATGTTTTTGTTTTCAACTCGGTATGGTTAAAAAAAAAAATCTCTTGGGAATGATGGCTTTATTCTGACAAGACCCTCTGGGGTTCCATTACACATTGAAACTGGATCAACTAAGCTTTGCATTTCTTTGGGTTCAGAAGAAAGTAAAAAGTGAGAATCCTTAGTGCAAGTTGTCTCCGCTTTTCCTTAATTGCCCCAAATAATTTGGAAAATCCTTAATTCACCACTGAACAGCCTTAATAAAACACAGAAGTGATTAGTTTGAATGTGAAGACTTTAAGAATGATGGAGGGTAATTAGCTTGCATCATTAAAGCTCTTTTGTAGTCTTACAATCTTATCGAACATTTAAAATGCTGCATGTCACATTCACCCATCCATCTACAGAACTGCTTACATTATGTTTTGTTTTTTTTTTTTTAGGACCTGCAGGAGAGTGAAGTGTGCCAGGATGAGCTGGCTCTCAGGGTGAAGCAGCTCAAGGCAGAGCTTGTTCTTTTCAAAGGACTTGTTAGCAATGTAAGTCTAAAACATTTTTGATAAGAATACACGGACTGGAATAAACTACTAGACAGAATTAAAAGTGGGAAAAATAAATGGGAAGACATCAGTTTATCAAGATCTTCTTAGTAGTGCTGCAGTAGGGAAGAAAATGAATGAACTTCTAAGCTGTGTCAACAGAATTTTGTTTTGACCTGTTTTCTTAAGGACCTGTCTGATCTGGAGAGCAAAATTCAAGAAAAGGCCATGAAGGTGGACATGGACATCTGCCGGCGCATCGACATCACGGCTCGCCTGTGTGACGTCGCCCAGCAGAGGAACTGCGAAGACGTCATCCCCATCTTCCAGGTACGTCTGCAGCAACCGTTCTCCAATAAAAACCTTTACCTCTAAATCTACACGCCTCCACCCATCAGGTACCCACTCCTCCATCCGCTACTGGCCGCCGCACCAGGAAGCCCAGTGGGCAGTCACAGAAGAGCGGCGACGGAGACGAACTGAGCGTGTCGGAGAGCGAGGGGGGAGGGGCCAGAGACGAGGAGTCCAGCAGCACGTCGGCCAGTCTGATAAACGAGCAGATGCAGAAGATGCTGAATCACCTGTAGGTATCGTTTCTCTGAACATGGCAACAGTAAATCACCATGTGGCTGACATGATTGCATCTGTACTGGAGGAGGGAGTGTGAGTTTGAAGATGACTGCGACAGTCTGGCCTGGGAGGAGACGGATGAGACGCTTCTGCTGTGGGAAGATTTTTCTGGATACACACTGGGAGTTGAAACACAGGGAGAGGTACACACACACGTTACATTTCTTACTTGTATTTTAAACTTTTAGACTACAGTATTCTCAAATAAATCAGAAGTTAGAAATGTGTGAAGCTTCTGCACACCTCTGAAAATGTTCAATACAGCAAACAAATGAATACAAAACACTTGGGTGCAAATGAAAACTGATTAATATTTAAGCACACAACTGCTACCTCAAAGTTCAATTTTTATGGTCCTCTAGATCCTAGAGGGCCACACAGCAACTTTAAATCGCCGTTGTGGAGAAGCACAGTTATGGGGGCTGGATTTGGCCCGCGGACCTCAAGTTTGACACCTGCACTAAATAGGCAGGTGTCAAACCATAAAGGTTTGGGGAACTGTAGTTTACGACCGTTTTTAGGATTGAAAGTAGGCTTCACTCCTTCTAAATCAAAAAAAAAAAAAAAGTGTCATTTTATTTGGTGAAACTTGTAAATGACTAGAAAATGGTTTCTGGTCTTTACTGTCATCACTCATTCCAGATATTTTGTCCCCATGTTCAGGAATAGGATTTCCTCCTGTAGGCATTTTCACCTCGTCTCACTGAGATGTCCTGTGTCCATAAGCTATTTTCAGCACGATGTCTTCATGTAACTTAGTGCATCTTCAGTCTGGTGACGTCTGTGACATGTCTTTGTAGGTGACCAGTAATCTGTTAATTGAGATAAGCCCCCAGAAGTAGCCATTGACCTGCTTAATGAAATGCCAGAAAGGAAACTTCAAGAGATTAGTGTTCAAAGCACTCTGTCTCTATTGTTCAAACCTGCAAGCATATATAGTGTCTTTTATTATTATATTGTTATAAATTACATTACATGACATGCAGTACATCAGAACTTGTATTTGTTTGGTTTTGATTTTAGAGATGATCGTTGGTTGAGGTTCTTGATATTTTTAGAGAATTTATGGTGTGATCAATCAATGACTTTACACAGATTTTTGTAAAATACTAAAAAAAAATCTCCTAAGCTCTGCTACCTCAATGTAGCAGAGCTTAGGAGACAATAAATCAAACGATTTATTTTGTCACTGTTCTTAATCACAATGACAAAATACTTTGTGATCATTTTCTAAGGCTTCACAACACATTTGTTTGTTTTTTTCAGCAGGACGAGTCGATTGAGAAAGTGATTAAAGACACGGAGTCCATGTTCAAATCCAGAGACAAAGAATATCAGGACACAATTGACCAAATAGAGGTGAGACGTCTTGGCGATTCTACTTCTGTGGTCTATAAAGCTTCTGTTAATGTGAATAGACCCACTCTGTGATTTTTAACATGTTTGGGGTCCTTCACAGCTGGAACTGGCCACAGCTAAGAGCGACATGAACCGACACCTGCACGAGTACATGGAGATGTGCTCCATGAAGAGAGGGCTGGACGTCCAGATGGAGACCTGCAGGAGACTCATCACACAGAGCGGAGACAGGTAGACCACAGGAGATCAACCTCACTCGATGGGACATAACAAAATGGCTATTAAGATGATGTCATTTTCATTTCATTTATATTGTGTGCTGTAAAAGTCAGAATTTTCAAAGAACGTGGCTAAATTAGGAGTTCAGCAGATCAGTGTTAGAACTGCCAATCGATTTTTAAAGGGCGTCTTTGACGGATGAAATTATTTCAAATACAAACTTAAAATAAAACTGAATTCAAATTAAATGCTTGTAGAAAAAAGCATAATTAATGATTGTAAGAGGTACTGCAAACAATGTTTAAAACGTTGTCACCTCGGATCTGACGTCCGAGGCACCTGGAACGGAGCATTAGTTGTATCTACATGCTGCAGCGGTCTCCAGCATGTTGACATAAAACTTGTCCCTTTGTGTTTCATCATAGAAGATCCACCCCGCTCATCATACCAACAGCTGATGACTCTGAAAAGGAGGAGAAGAATAATCCGACTCTACCTGCTAACTCTGAGAGCAGCAATCCCTTTTGCAACATAAATGCTGGAATCCCACCGATGAACTGGAGAAAACCCTGACACTCAATCCCATTCTGCTAATTCTTCCTCTAGTGTTTTAGGACAACTGACATAAAGAAAACACATTTTCCCCACATTCTAGGATTTTTGTTGAGATTTCTAAAGTTTTAAAAGTAAAACAACATATCTGGGATTTCTAAAAACAGCCTACAAACACTGAGTTCTTTTAACCCCATAGCCAGAAAAATCAGCCAAAGGACAACAAAAGCTGACAGTTCTGTTTTCTGTCTAAAGCAAAAAGAAAATTTCTCCACCGTCTTTCAGAAGCGACTGAGTCATGTTCACCATCATAGGGAGAAAAGACATCCACTGGTCTGTAAACTGCTGCCCTCATGTGGTGACTTACTATAATTACATTAAAAAATGCTGCAAAGTGACAAATGAAGGTGAATCTGTAAGACGTTAGGGATGCGCATTATTTTGCACAATAATATGATTATTTAGTGTGGGAGCCTGTTATTTGCACAGTCTGTAAAAAAGCTTTTTAGCACCAGTATTAAACAGAAGGGTAATAAGGCACAGAAGAATGTAGTTAGCACATGTCACTTACATATGAAAAAAAAAAATTCTATTTATATTTATTTTTAGGTTAAAATAATTTATTATTGCAGATTACTGCCCAGATCTCTCTTGAGATTGAGATATGGATCTCAATAGGGTTTTGCGTGGTTAAATAAAGGAATAAAAAAAAAAAGAAATTTAAAATATCCATGTGGGATTTCTGGAAATTTCCATAAAGCAGTAAATACAGTTAAAAACACAAATTTAAATTTCTTCAGCATCAGTGAAAGATTATGGTAGCTATTAATGAAGACACAGTGAATTAAAAGCTTGAGGGTTGGTTGTATATGTACAGCCTTGATCAAAACTAAATATCTGGGTGTTTTTAAACCAAACTTTGGTCTGAGGCTGAACTGACTCTGAGCAAATTCAATTAGCTCTGATTCTGGGATTATAAAGGAATATTTAGGTTGTACTGTCCCAAACCACTCATTGCAGGTTTGACTCTTAGCACTTTTTGTTGTTGTTGTTGTTTTTGCAGGGTTGTTATACAAATGTAGCGAAATTGTGTTGGCTAAACCGATGCATCTTAAAAATCTGTAATGAAATTAAAGAAAAAAATATCACATTGCAAAAAAAAAATCACTTTTCATGTTAATAAAAAGAAAATCTTTTAAAATTGGATATAATTTGCTATTTAGTCAAACATTTCTTACAAAAAATTAGACCGTGCTCTGCAGTGACATTATTTTAAGTTTTTACTTTTTAATTTGATATATTTTTATTCAGTTGTTTAACCCCAAGTTTTTATACTTGAAAAGCAATTACCTATAGCTTGATGGTTTATAATGCTAATTTGTTATAATGAGTTAATTTAAAAAAAAAAAAAAGTCACCTTTGGAAAATGTTGTTTTTCAAAAGCATGTTTTTGTGCTGGACGTGAGGTGATGGCCTAAACTGAAAGTAGCTTTCCTCCTTATTCAGCTTCAACCAAGTTTAGGAGTGAATATACATCATCTGTTGATTTCAAATACCAGATCACATACTTTATACGTCTGACCTATAATTGCCCATTTTGTGAAAAGCTGTAATATTGCAACTGATCGGTGTGTATGATGCTGACCTATTAATGCTGCAAGCTTTGTGTCCTATGATGTAAATGTTGGTGATTTTCAATGCAGATTTACTTTTTTGTGCATTGCCAGAAACCATGTTTTGAATCATTCTGATCCCAATAGCAAATCTGGGATCAATATGATGTACAAATAGGTTATTTTAGTGCAAATAGATTTCTAGAAGCATAAGTTTTTGCTTTACTGTGCTGAAATGGTGCTCTGAATGACAGTTTGTTTTTTATAATTACATATCCATAATCCTCAGATGTTTTTTTTTTTAATTGTTCCCCCCCCCCCCCCCCCCCCCCCCACCCCGCCTGCCCCCCAACACCCCCCCAACCCACACGCACCGTCGCC